ATGAATAGCAAATATGAAAATATTCTCCTCTCAATCCTAATGGCAATGTAGCTCAAGATAGTATTAAAGGTAATATTAGAATATGGAGACTGGGATGTATATTATTTCACATAGTTACTATTAAAAAGCTTTGCTGAATATACTGTATTTTTTACATTTGCTCAGTCACGGAACATTATCATTATCATTAGATATTTAGATTATAAATATGTAATTCAGCTTATCCCTCCATTTGCTTCAAAATGCTTAGCATTTATTTTTCAACATTGTTGAAGTAGTTGTAGCTTCACAGTTGAGAACAGTAGTATCAGTTTTTTGTGTTCAAGTTAGCTTTGAACCAGAAGTTTTGCTTTTATTTATAACTTCTAGTGCATCACTCTATGCCTACGCATGGGGTTGGAGACAATAGCTGTGTAGTATGTAAGGTTCTAAAACTTTGTCATTAGTAATAAGGCTTTTTGCATTAGTACATTAAAATAAGACCATATAGAGCACTGTATTAAAAAAAACCCAACAAACCACTACAAATACATAAACATCCCCACTGTAAAACCAACCAAACAACCCCCTAAAAGCAAAACCCAATCCTTTGGTTATAACCAGAAATTTGCCTCTGCTTTCTGAAGTATTTTAAGGAAATAATTTTTGCTTGGTTTCCACAGAAACATTTTGCAGCAAGAAGGTATTAGTGTTTAAAGTAGTTGGCCAAGATAGGGGGAAATTGGAGACTCTTACATATCTTGTATGTTTGTATCTTCTTCTATAATTTTATGCTGATGATCATGTTCAGCTAAAAATTTGCTTAACTGTTTGGTGGTGGTTGTAAGCTAAGTGTATAATAAGGACTGTGGCTATTTTGTAGAATTAGCCAGACATTCAGAATGGCTGTTTTGGTTAAGATAACATATTAATATTGACTGTGAATACAAAGGTTTTATCTTCATTTTCCTCTCATTTATTTTTCCTCTTCCCTGCCCCCCTTCCACCCCCAAAGGAAATTTTCTTTTAGAGACTGATGAAGATGTTATGTTTTTTAAAATAATAGCAGACAGTAAGTGAGAAGATACTTAAGGGGAGAAAACAACCCTAATCAGTTAAACTTATTAGAATTTCACAGTTCTCAGGAGACTGTAAGTTGTAAATTGATACAACCCTGGGGTGGGAGTGGAATGAAATCAGATTTCATCTAGATGTATGAAGGCAAAATGACACTAAAGTCTAATTTTTTACACTTAAAATCCGTTCACTAGTGATACATGGTCAAACATGTTAAACCACACATTTCAGAAGGCTTATTAGCATATTCCTTGCAGTGAATTCAGAGTGATATAAAGATTTTTCTTGGTGACACCTGCAATTCACACAGACCTTTCTGGTAGTAAATGAAATGCTTTGTTATGTTTTACAGTAGATGAACACATTGAACTTAACAGCAACTTTATTTAGCTAATGTGCTGCACATACTCTTTAGCTATGCTTGTTGAACATACTGTTCCAGTGTAGTCCCTGCCACACTTCATGGATATTGTATCAGACCAAAAGCCTGTTTCCATGTTCTCAAAGCAGGCCAAAGAACAAGCATTCGGTACTTCAGAGATTTCTTTGTCTTCATAAGAATAGCATGTTCATCTATGTTTCTCTGATGCTATGAAACTGTCACACTCAAAGCTAAAACTCTTAAAAGTAGGAGTTAGGAGTTAACACTGGCACAGCAACAAAATTTGGGATGTAATTGGAAAAGCTATTGAAGTGACAAAGTGTGACAATGGGAATAAATTTAGTTTAGTTTTCTGGTTGCTCAATTTAGTTTTCTTTCACATGAAGATGATAAAAAGAAAGAGAAAATAAGATGCCAAAAATGAGGGAGAGAATAGTGTGAAGGTGAGAGATGGGAAGATATGTATAAGGAAAGAGGAAAAAACAATGATACATTTGCTAAAAAGAAGAAAGAAGTTAGACATCCAGCAAATTGCTGTTTTCTTATTTACGTCTGGGAAACACATACTAGATCAGAGGCAACATCTGGAAACTTGTATGTGCAGATAAAAGAAGTCAGCTTAGCTGTACTTTTCATAAATAGGTTGAGGCTTTGTCTCACAGTGACATTTAATTAAGTAAGTAAGCTGAGAGTGATTTTTTTCACCCTGTGTTTTAGTTACGGTTGAAATATTCTTGGGTTTGTAATTTTGTATGCTTGTCTGAGTAAAATTCCATTAAGTGTATTAAGAATTTGCTTGCTCTGGGGGTTTAATATTCTATCTATGCAGTCATTTTTAAGACAATTTAACTGAGTAATTGAAGAACTGGATGGTAACCTAGTCCTGTGGCACACAGTTTTAATTGCAGTTGTTTATATTCACACAGAATCAAAGTGAATAATGGATATCTCAACTAAAAATGGGGGGCCATCAACCACCTGAGAAGTAGGTTTTTAGGTAGGGATCTAGTTACGATACAAAGTTTTGTAATTTATATGGGAACTCCTGACGACACAATAATGATAATTTGTCACCTTCCTTAATGGACTCATGCTAGTGAGAAATTTAATATAAAGCAAATCAACCTTTTTAACTGGTGCCATACTTTTGCATGGGTTTTTTGGTGACACTACTCTCTGTTGAAGTGATCTTGTAGATACACCAGGTTTTTACACATACAAACAAATGTGTTTTAGCAGACAATTAAATGCAGATAAACAACATATTTCATACAAGATTGTTACACCTCTCTGCCATTGACACTCCTACTCCCACCCCAGACCATAAACATAGCCTAGCATGGTGTGCTTTCTTTTAGATCTCCACAGACATTTGCCTATCACAATCCAACATGAATTTGTCCTAGTTCTCAGAGAATGATTATTAAATAATAATGGCAAGGGAGATCTCATCCTGTTCATAAAGCATAGAGGGTTTCTTTAGTAAGTATAAAGAGAATCTGAAATTTAAGGTCTGCACTTTTTTTCATTTGCATACTATCTTCTAACTGGCACTAACTAAAGTAGTTAGAAAATATAAAAGACAAGCAGTGAGAGAGAGAGAGGGAATTGATTGTGCTTGCTGGTCTGAAGTAGTACCAAAAGATGCCCATCTTGAATGAGACACAGAGATCAGAGAAATGAGGTCTGCTGGTCAGAGGTCTTTCTCTGCCACTCTCTGGAGGCATTGCAAAACTGCTATATCAAAATCCAGCAGACTTCCTTTCCAGAAATCATTCAAGAAATGATCCGAGCTATTAATTGTGACTGATAAACTCCTAAGATACATGATATCTTCTTTTAGTTGAACCCCCTCTTTGCAGTTCTAATTCCTTCCATTCAGTCACCAAAATCCTAGGAAGGCAAACGCCAAGCAAACATCCCAGCTGAAATGGTAGATCCCTTTGCTATTAGTGTATCTTTCTTTTTTCCTCAACCCTCCTTCTCTTCTGAAAAAAACCCTTGTTTGCTTTCTTTTTTGTTTCTTAGCTTTTAGAAAGCCTTTAAAAATGCTTTTACTTCCCTGTCATGGCATTATGCTCTTTGGAGGGAGAATCAGCTGGAGTCATGGCAAAGAAAACTGCTGTCCTGGTACTTTTATTTTGTATTCACCATACGATTCACAGTATTGCATTGTTCCTTCCCAGAGGGGGAAGATTGGTCTCTCATGCAAATCACTGGTCCTTTTCTAGGCTTTTGTAGCCGTCCTGAAATTGTTGGAAGGGATCCTTCTTTCTGCAGAGTGAGAAGGAGGAATTGCACCAGACAGGCTGGCCCCAGTTATTTTATCTCTTTCCTGTGTCTCTTACAGCTCCTTTTGAGGAGCAGGCACCAGGCAGTACCTATACTGTGTTCCCAGGGCTTCTGCTGGTCTTGTGCATTTGGTGTGCCAAATTCAGTGACATTATTTGGCATAACTTGAGACTTGCATTGCTTTGAGTACACAGAATCTGGCCCACAGCTTTGTCTGTATGCAAAAGTGTTCTTACTTACTTAAACTTAGTGGATAAACAAGTGTTTTTCTATTGACCCAAGTGATACATGAAGTTGGTATCAGTTAAAGAAATGTGGTGTGTGTACGTTATTTCAGCTGATAATATTTTGTGAGTAGCGGTGTCCAGAGATTCAGCTTTCACAGAGCCTCATTAGTGTTCATGGAAGTGCAAATTTATCATCAGGAATGCCTCCAAGCTTTGAAAAATCTAAGAAAAACAAAGAGAATGTGCAGAAAAAGAAATTTACTTTTAAATAAATAAAGTCACAAACTGAAGTAGAGAGAATAAGGCTAGGGACTGTGTGGATAGATCTGCACTGTGATTGAAGGTAGAAGGCTCCAAGTTAAGCAGGACAGAAGTTTTAATTTAACCTCATCCCCATAGACATCAGCACATGCATGCAGAGGATTATTACCACCATCTGTTTTATCTACAGTGGTTTTCATCAGTTGTGTTATTTTGTGGGTTTTTTAAGTGCTTAAACACTGCTTTGAAGCTGTTGTGTTAATTGTTAACTTGGGCTGAATCTGCATGGATGCCTATAGCAGTGTCAGCATGCTAAGATTGGAACTGCTAGATTAGAGAATGGAAGTATCAGCTCTGTGCCTGTGCAGTACTTTAATAGCTGTGCCAGTTCAATCAAATACACTACTGACTTTGTCACTCTGAAACGGTATTTGCAAGATCTTAGATGGACTGCTGAGAAAGATTAATGTAATCTTTCATTTTTGGCTGACTTAAAAATAAGGTAACTAAATTCTTTACATAGATTATTTTATTACTGTTCTTCTCAGGAGGAGAATAGATATACTGGTAGATTTGAATTCTTCACTTAAATTAAATATACATGTATGAGGAACATTGTAGTGAATGGAAGGAAACTAACCATTATCTTTTATATAGCTTGATCTCATATTCTGATTTACTGAAGTTAATGTTAAAAAAAGAAAATGAAATGAAGAGAGAGAAAAAAAGGAAAAGAGTATGTTTATTCCTTCATTTTTTTTAAATCTGTTTTTTCTTTCTTCTTTACAGAACCTGAAGAAGGTGTTTGTAGAATTTAGCCATCAGGAGCTGTTTGAGTTCTACAATAAGGTCTGTAGATTTTACAATACTATATTTTCTTTAAACACCTTATGCTGCTCAGCAGGAATTGTTGCCTTTATTAATTAAATCTAATGAAACTGGAAAAAAGGGATCCAACTTAATTTAAGGCTGTTGGATTTCTTTGATCACATAAACCATTCTCAGAAAGAGCCTCTGCATTCAGCTTTGCAATAGACAGGGCTTGGGTCACTGTAAGCATACCTGGCAGTTAGGTCAGGAGGAGTAGCTGATGATTGACAGTGGGGATCTCTCTGGAAATAGCATCTTTGTGTTACATCTTCAGTCAAGATGTTAGGCTCATAATCCAGTCAAAATGAACTCTATTACTTTTTTTCCTTGTTATTATGCATTGGAAATTCACAGGAAAACATCTGTGCATGCTAAAGAGGTAGTATTTAGACAACTGTTTCTTTAAAATTTGAATATTTAAACTGCAGCAATGAATTCTAATAGCTTCATGTAAAAACAAATATTCATGAGTACAGGATTTTTATATTGGTATGCAAATATATTTGGTATGCCTAGTAGAAGATATTGGATATTTCTGTTTGCATGTTTCTAAACAACATTTTATGAGTGGAGGTTTTTTTTCTCTCTTTTTTTTTTCCTTAAAATAGCTGGAAACTATACAAGCACAGCTGGATTCCCTTACGTGATGTTTTTGAAGACTTACTTCTCCATCATGCTCCTGCCACCTCATTATTTTGATTTGAAGATAGATTGCCAAGCTGTGTTTCCTGAAGGATTCAGCGGGTTGCTTCTTGTAAAATTATATGGCTTATCTGCTTTTTAGACCAGTGCCGTTAGCCAGGAGTCTTTACGAGGGTCTAAAGATTCTAGTGGACTTTCTCTTGTTTGCTTAGCAGTTGTGAAAAATTTGCCAGTCTTCTTTGCTTGCAGTGGGGAAGCACCCTGCCCACCCCTCCCCCCCTAAAAGAATACTATCCTGCCTCAGAAATTTTTTTTTTTCATCCTATTATGCGTGTTATTTGATTCTAGTAGAAATTTGCATATTAGTGAGAAACTGGGGAAAAACTCCTTTTTCCGGACATAAATGTAGAAATTGTAAGAAAATACACAGCTAATAAAATCTCTATACTTTTAAAATATTATTCACACAATAGATAATGCTTCTTACAGATTTGTCAAAATAAATTCAGAAATTTAAAAGCACATTTTGGGGCTAGTCAAACTTCATTTTGTTATCTTTGTTCCATTTTAGTTTGGTGGGTTTTTTTTCTTTGAAATAATCAATAATGTTTCTGATTTCAGTGTTTAGTCTTGGCACTGAAAATAGACATAGCTTCTTAGCACCGCATGCCCACTAATGAATCTAAGAAGTATGGTGTATAACTGAGGTGAGAAATCTCAGAGTATGAAAAAAAAAAATAAAATAAAATGACCTGACAGATTTCTGAAAGCTATGTTGATCCTTACTCATGCTGTTTTTACCAGTAATGTTTTGACACTGAACAGGAAAAATTGAAGTATAGTTATTAAAGGCCAAGTTAGTCATACTTTCACCCATTAGTTCCAGATGATTCATGAGCAGCAGGAGAAAGGTAAAAGTCATCTTAGTTCTTGTTTGTTGCTGTTTTTGACAGGCAACTTAATTTCTGCACAGTGTATGACTCTGGGCTTTGGGCTTGTAGAAGGTGAGAGGAAATTTGTCTGTTCAGAGATTTAAGAATTTTTTTCTTCTAGATGCCTACATCCTGATGCCAACCAGACCATTTCCTTCTGTAGCTTGTTTGCTCTTGACTGTAGATATAAGTACAACCAAAATGTATATTTTGAATGGCTGGTTCTCCTGAATAGTTTAGGTTCTCCTGTGCCAGATTTCCTGCTTTTTTGCTTTTGGAGGCCCTTTTTGTTGCTTTGTTGTTAGGGATTGTGCTGTCAACTCTAGAGTAAAGGTTTGCACAAGTTGTCCAAGCTGAAAATTAATAGATTCAGATGGTAAAGCTACTAACAGACTATGTGTGAGTAAAGGGCATTGAAAACACACACTTAGCATAGTTCTTAACTCTCAAAGGAAATGCCAAATGATACGCTACCACTCTGGTACAGTAACACTGTTACCCTGGAAGAAGAAATGAGTCACCATTGCACGGCAGAATATCCTCAGCTATCCATTATATGTTGTGAGGCTGGCTGCCAAAACCATGTTTTGTGGTAAGCCCCTGGCACATGTGCCATATCTTCTGGACATACAGTGCTCCCATCCACTGACATCACATCCTTGCTCTGGCTGTTCAGCAAGGGCTTGCCAGCTCGTCATCTCACACTGCATGGACTGGTGTATGTCTGCAGGTGGACACATCCCCACCATTCCCTCTGCTTGCTTTATAGTTGGTGCAGCTGAGGGAATGCCCTTGTGCATGACATGCCTTCTCTACCAGTCCTGTGGCACACTGTGCTTTGTGCAAGAACACTGCTCGTGACCCTTTTCACTGGGTTTCTAGAAGTTATGTTCTGGAAGTCAGGTCTGAAGTGAATTCAGACTTTCCTGTGTGAATACAGGACATACTAAGGCAGTTGTATGAGGGGTTTTAGTTATCTTTGTGAATGTAGGCAGTGATTGATGAATCCTGGAGGAGGAGGTGATGGCTGGACTATGTGGAGAGCAAGAGACATTGGACAAATCAGCAGGCACATGTGAAAAAAAGAAGTCAGAGTAGGAAGAAACAGGGCACAAGAAAAAAGGAAGGAGAGGGTAGAGAAATGGATATTCTCAAGGATGGAATCTGGGTGTTGGGAAATACCAGAAAAAGAGTAGAAATGCTGGAAAAGATGACAAAAGTATATATACAAAGATAATATTAAGCAGAGGGGGAGAAAACCTTATAGAAGAGTGAGAGGAAAATTGGGGAATCAAAGTAAACCAGAATTAACTGTGGAAACTAGCCAGTTGTATAATTGCATCTAGTATTTCAAACTAACCCAGAAGTGTCAACCTTGGTTGACCAAGATCAAAGTGTGGGATAATGAAAAACAGATTTTAAATCTAGCTTTAATAGGAAGTATTTTTAAAAATATAAAATTATTTTGAAAGGGAAAAAAAGACTGATTGCAGTATTTCTGTAAATTTTGTTTAACGTTTATCCTTGTTTGCAGATGACTGAAAAGATTTATGATTTCTTTACAGTGGCTGCCTTTTATTTTTTTTTATTTTACAGTGCTGCTTTTTATTTTTAAACATTTAGTTTAAAAAGACTTTTCTGTATGTAATGGGAAGCTTTGGGGTTTTACATTGTTATGTAGCAAGAGCATAACCTGTACCATCTCAGAGAGGAACATTGTCACTTAAATTTAAGTGCACCTGACTGAGAAGATTGGCTAACTGAGAAAGAGCAGAAGAATTCGGGAGGAGTTAATTAGGTTTTGCAGAAAAGAAGGCTTTTATCCTGGTTGCTTCTCTCTGGGCCTGAGTGGACCTGGAGAGGGGAATCTTAGTCTTGCCCTGAGAGAAGCTGCCTCTGCTTGGTTTGTATAAAGGCCTGGTGTCTCAGAAGTGTCAGTGAACAAGAGGAAAAGTAAGCGCTGGCACAGACTGGGTGATGCCTGGGCAGATCTCCCTGGAGGAGGGTCTAGACTGCCTTAGGTGTGGCAGAAAGAAAAACACTTGCTGGGAGGCAGCAGCGTGTAGACTACACAGAACTGAGCACACCAGGTTGGTGTGGGAGCTTAGATAAGTGTGTGCATTCTGAAGGTGTTCAAGCTTTGGTTTTGTGTACTGGTAAAAAACAGAGCAGTGAGTCTCGGGGATATTTTGAAGGTTTTATTGCAGAAAATAAACGGGATGCATCTCATGCTCTTTCCAGTTCAGGATCCTAGCACACTGGCCTGTAATATCTCTTGGACATGATCCAGATTTGAAATTACCAAGGCTTGACGTAGTATTGAAGGAAGATATTTCCAGAGATTTATTGAACTCTGAAACTGGACATTGGAATGAGTAAGAATTACTAAATCTTCTTTCACATCTTCCAGTGCATTTTAAAAACATTTGATTCATCTTTGTTCAGACATTAAAGACAGTATTTTCTGTGACTACTTCTTACAAAACTATAATGTCAAAATCTGCCTCAAATGGACTATTGGCAAAAGAAGGATTTTTTTTTATTCAGGTGTAATAAGCATCAGTAGTATTTTGACATCAATACTTGGAGTTCTGGACCGAAGGAAAAGCCCGTGTGAAAACTGCCTCAAAAGCACCAAATTACTGGTGAAGAGCAACCACTTGTACGTCACTGAGCAAAACTAACACTAACAGTGCATTATCTCTGCCTAGTTCAGACTTAGACATGTAATTCCTGGTTTTTAAGCAGATATGAAATGTCTGAAAGTTTTGCATTTTATTTTTGTTGAAATAAAATATATAGTTAGACAAATATGGCTTTGCTGTCTCAAATTTTGATTAACTGCCAAACCTGTTTTGGTTCTCCAGAGGAGGCTTTCAAATTCTCCTTTAATTCCTGGGTTTGCTGACACATAAATTTTAAGTAATGACCTGCACTTTCATTTCTACAATCTCTTTAAGGGCTCTGAAGTCTTGTTCTTTCAAAGCATAAAGGAATTACTGACATGCTAATTCTTACCTTGGTCGAAGGAAGAAAAGTGGTTATTGTTACAAAATAGTATAAGCTCCCCTTCACACTTTTTATACTCTCATATACTTGTTTCCAACATCATCAGTAACATTTCATTGCTTGGCTGTATTGGCATATCATATCTTCAAAGATTATTAATTCTCTCACATTGTGACATAATAATGACAAAGCTTAATAATGCCTGCTAACCAGTGAATAAGTATCATAGAATTTTGTTTTATTTTATAGCTTGTTTGACCGATGAAAATGAGTAACGTTTTGACCTATTGTGTGGGAGTTCCTTTTCTATGGAACAGATAAACTGACCAGAGTAACAGTGATTTTGAGTAAGTGTGTGAACCACAGTGCTGCTGCCTGACACACTACTGATGGTATCTCGTTGAGATAAACTAATAAGATGCTTTTTTCTGCAATTGCGTAAGTTGATTTCTCATTTCCATAGAAATTAATCAGTTTTGTTGGATCTTCCCTTGGCCTCCTTCATTGCTCATCAGGCCAAATTATATGCTGTGATTTTAACTGAAATAAAGGGTTTAGACCATCCCTTCATTTCTTCATTATTTTGTTTCTAAAGAGATAAAAGCTGCTGGTCTGTTACAAATCAGGTAGTGTTTGTCTGTGTTCAGCTGTGCATCCAGGAAGCACTTAGTCCTTCTCACTTAGAGAGATTAGTCTTTTTTCTATTGAGATCAAAATATATTTAATGGTTTATCCAATGTTTTCTCCGATTATTGAAATCATACAAAGCCAATTTAGAGTCCTACAGATGTTGGAAGCATAACTGTCTTGACCAGCTGTTCTAATAAGGTGATCACATTTTTAGAGCTCTTTTAACTTCTTGCCATCGGTGTTAAACATTAATTGCCCTTTTATGGTAATGTAAAACATATATTCAAGAAAATGTAGTGAATGTAGTGAAAGGGATGAATGTAGTACCTGTCTTTGAGATGGATATGCAGATCCACAGAGGCCAGCAGGGGCAGCTTCAGAATACTAGTTCTGGGGTTGGACACACAGGAGCAGCAGATTAGCTCTTTTGGAATTCATCGTCTGGTCATTCAGGACAAGGGAAGGGAGGAGGAAGCAGCACTCCCTGCACAGGGCTAACGAGATTCCTCACATCTGCACTGTGTTGGAAGGGTCGTCTCACGAGGGTTAATGTGAAGAGCTCCGCATACAGGTGAGCTGCCTTTATTTCATTTAGTTTGCATCCATGGTTTCAGTGGGTAGGGCAGCTCTTTAATAAATTGCATTTCATGGGCAGCATGAGAATGCTGTGCTTTTTCTTTCATTCACTTGTCTGTATTTCTGCTTCCAGGGCTGGGGAATGCCTCTTTGTTAAAAGAAAAAAAATTAGTTTGATTTAAGAAATTATGCAGTTAATGTATGTAGTAAGCATTTAAAGTAACATTTGCATTCTTGTGTTTGTTTCTAATTTTAAAGTGTTTGTCATAGCCAATATCCTTGCAGGCAGCAGAGAATGAATCTCAGTGAAGTCAGCGAAGCCCTGGGAGTGAGGAAAGGATCATGTCTCCTGTTCCATGCACTCCTCCGTACCGA